ACTAATTTACTTTACCTGAAGTGACACTATGGAAATTGTACATAGTGTCATTTTCCCCCATTTAATTTAATTTTTTAAAAGTTTTCTGTAGGGTGCATGTGCTTGCCAGAGAGGGATAGGGAGAGAGAGAGAGAAAGAGAAAATGAGAAGGTACTCCCAAAGGAGGATGACCATGCCACAGTTCCTTCTCTTCTATTTTCTTGAGATTTGGGGCATGCACACACATGTACCTGGTGAGTCTCTCCAGTTACTGGGTCCAAGATTTGAATTGCCAGTCAGGTATGTGGGATCCAATTACCTTAACCACCACACCACCTGGCTGGCTCTTTTAAAAATAAATGTACACATAGTAATTGCACATATTTATGGGGTACAGTGTGATATTTTTCCTTTTTTTTTGTAAAAATAATTATTTTATTTAACCTTATTTATTTACTTACTTATTTTAATTTGACCAGAGAGGGACAGAGCAAGAGAGAGAGAGAGAGAGAGAGAGGGAGAGGGAGAGGGAGAGGGAGAGGGAGAGAGAGAGAGAGAAAGTGAGAAGGCAAGCCACCAGGTCCGGGACTCGATCTGTGCTTGGCCATGTGGGAGTCCAGCGCCCACTGCACCTGCTAGCCCCCAAGAGTGTGAGCTTTCAATACATGAATACAATGCATACTGATCAAATTAGGATAATTAGCATATTGGTCACACAACTGGGTCTGTAAGAATGTGTCTGTCAGACATAGAAGATAGAAAAGGCCTAACAGCATGCAAATTTAAAGCAAATACACATAGTTCAGGTGATTGATGATAAATTTGATGTGAGGCATGAAAAGGGAATTAATATATGAAATATATAGACACAGAATGACAACTGAGGATAGATAAAAAGTGGTCATGAGTGATTTACCACTTGTAATGTGTGTTACATTAATCAGAAAAGAAAAAGCAGGAAAAAAAGGCAGATGTTGGAAGAAAGTTGAGTTTTGTTTCTTATGGCTTGAGGAGAAATTACTCATTAGCCAGTTGTAAATATAGATCTGAAAATCTGGAGAGGGGTTAGGGCTAGAGATCTTATTTGCAAGTTATTAATATTGACTTGACATTAGTCAAGTAGAGAACTGTTTCTATACCTGTGCATCTAAGGAAGACTGCAATACTGGATTAGGAATAGACTGAGGTTACTTATGAGGTCTCTTCTGGGTCTTTGAGTAACTATTAAGATAAAGGAACAGTGGAGAAACATGTGATAAGTGGGAGATGGCTGTTGGTGAAGTAGAAGATCTGGAATACCAATTTTAACAGTTTGTGTTTTAAACCTGCCTTATGTATTAAACAAGAGGCATATCAGAGGAAAACTAACTGGAGAAAAATTAAGCTTGCGTCACATATTAGAATGTCTGGGGGTTTATGCAAGAGAAACCAACTTGATCTAGCTTCAGTAAAATAAGAGACTTTCCTATGGGGATTCAGTCATTCCTCAAAGAAGCCAAGGCTAAGAATGTCACTGTATAACCAAGAGGCAGACAACCACTAAGGATCTCAGCTTGTCTATCTCTTTTTTTCTTTTTGCTTTCCCCTCCTCCTCTATCCCCTCCAGACTTGTTTTCCTTGCTTCTCCTGATGCGACAGCCCCTAAATTAATATGTTATCGCTTTAGACACCCAGTGTTAACAACCCCCCTTTATTCTAAATGCCTGAGGTAGTTCTCTGATCCACCAGCATGGGTAAGATATTCCATCTTTATCCATTCAATTGTATGTGTGCATTAAGAGGGGCCAGGGGACAAAAGTCCAATTAAATAATATGGGGGGGGGAATAAGATTCAGAAATCAGTATTTATTTTTACAAGTGCCCCAATTAGAACTAGTGCCTCAGGCTCTGTTACTTTCATGGAAATAAAGACCATAGCAAGGTTAACAGTCCCCCAAAGATGTCCATGTGCCGATATCCAGGACCTGTGAAAATATTACCTGGCAAAGGGAAATTAAAGCTACAGATAGAATTTTAAGGTTGATAATCAGCTGACCTTCAGATTGGGAGAATGTTTTGGATTATCCAGATGGGTCCTTACATGGTGAAGAGGTAGGAGAAATGTCAGTGTGTTAAAATAATGTCATTGCTGGCTTTGAAGATGCAAGGGAGCAATGAGCTAAGGGATGTGGGCACCCAGTACAGTGTATAGTAGAAAAGGCAAGAGAATAAAAAAGATTCTTCCAAAGACCCTCCAGAAAGGAAAATTCTGCTGATATCTTGGTCTTAAATTAACATGATTTTTTTCATACTTCCGAACTCCCAAACTGTAAAGTAATAATGTTGTGGTTTTTTTTAAACTACTTTATTTAACTTTACTTATTTATTTATTCATTCATTCATTCATTCATTTAATTTGACCAGAGGAGGAGGGAGGGATAGCAAGAGAGAGAGAAAGTGAGAAAGCAAGCTGCCAGGTCCAGGACTCAAACCGCGGTTGGTCATGTGGGAGTCCAGTGCTCTTAACCATCACACCACCTGCTGGCCTCAAGTTTGTGGTAATTTTTTTACAGCAACCAAGGGAAAGTAATATAGAGACATTGTTAAGAGAATTCATTTATATTTTAGTAGGAGAGAGAGAGAGAGAGGGAAAGTGAGAAAGCAAGCTGCCAGGTCCAGGACTCAAACCGCGGTTGGTCATGTGGGAGTCCAGTGCTCTTAACCATCACACCACCTGCTGGCCTCAAGTTTGTGGTAATTTTTTTACAGCAACCAAGGGAAAGTAATATAGAGACATTGTTAAGAGAATTCATTTATATTTTAGTAGGAGAGAGAGAGAGAGAGGGAGAGATCAAAGAAAACTCTAAGGCTATATTCCTTAAATACAAACGTTCAAGGGTAAACATCATTTTTTTTCTTTTTTGTTTGTCCAGTATCGTTCTCTTCTTCTGTAAACAGCATCTTCCCCTACCCTAGTTGTCATTTAGAAATTTTTCTTTTTTCTTTAATCATGTAGTCCTACTGGAGATCCCGTTCTTATGTCACACATGCACTTCTTTCCTAGGAGTGGTTACCCAGTCAACCTCTCTATCCTGGTGTTTTAAAAACTTGAAATGAGGAGAAAGAGACATATTCTGTCTGGTAGTAATTTAGTAAGTGTGAGCCCACAGTTTGTCAGAGATCGTGATTTCAGCCTGTAGATCATGACTTTGGGAGGTCCTGAAAGAATGACCCTGTCTGAGTGAGGCAAGGTTGAGAGCCTGACCTGGAATTTGAAGTATTACACTTGTTGGTTCCATTCGTCCCTAAGGCCAATCATAGACTTACCCTTTCACAACTTGGGTTACACAATAACTTTCTCTTTTGGCCTAAGCTACCTACCAATTTAGTTTTTGTCACTCCAACCAAAATATCTTGACAAATTCAGGCAAAAATAAAAAGAAGAGAAAAATAAACACAGCAATCAAATATGTTTCTAAAAACATACATATATAAGATGCAAAATTTATCTTTATTAACCCATTATGTTTACTTAAAGCACTTTCTGTATATGAAACAGTTTACTGGTAAAATGAATAGGGTAAGGACCTGTTTTGAGGCACTTACAGATTTATTCATCCTATAGAACAAACATGTATCTACATTTTCCAATATTCCTTTCTGCAATAAGTCCTCCCTACAGTCTCCTTATCCTTATTGGAAAAATACAGACTAGCAATGAGTTCAAATCTGGATTGTAAAATACACAAATGGAAGAACTGTAAATGTTAATGGGAAGAATTGGATATTTGGACCCTAAGGGTCATCACCAGACTCTCCCATAAAATGCTCCTGTCATAGTCAAAATACTTGCTGTGAACAATTGGTGTGGCT